TAAATGATCCCCGTGTCTTAGCTGAACCTTGAATGCACAGGATATACAGCATAAATCAAAACCAACCAACCGTCAAGAATAAAAGAGCAGAAAAACATGCTAATAATCATCAAAATGAACTCAAAGTCAAACAGTTTTATTAGGTTTACCTGATCAGAGGTTTACCACTTCTTTAGGGCTTCGAAGTTGCATATATATTTTTTTAATGATGCAAGTTTAAAAAATAACTCACTTAACTATTGTTCTGAATGTCAGTTTGCCAGCATATATGTACATACGGATATTTGGCACAGAATACAAAGGACTTGTATTTGATATAACTGGTCTAATTGGTCATATCAGCCTTGACCACGACTATTTCATGGAAGTTACCGGCTTGATGTTTCTTCCTCATGCTAAAGTTGCCTAATGTGCCTGTGACATTAAACAGATTTGATCAGCGCTGTTTTTTTTGTTTATGTGCCTGTGACAGAGCTGATTGCTTTCAACTAAGGTCTAACAAAACAAAAACAAATCAGACAGAACCTGCATCAGAGTCGTTTTAATGGAGGTTTGGATTAAACACGTTAAACAGGAGAAAAGGGCTTCAAATGAACTCATTTCAGCATCACAAACCCTGCCTGCTTCTCCTGGCTCTGCTTGATTGGGAGTGTACCAAATTTGTCTAGTGAAAAAAATATATAAATAAAGCAAAAAGCAGAAAGTTTGTCTTCCATTAAGCGCACACACATATACCTTTCAACGCAAAAGGCTGTCGGAATAAACTGAAAGAAAAAGATGCAGAGTGGAGTTTCAGAATTGAGACACGTTAAAGAAGCAGCACTTAAGAATACTGAAGAGATACTGAAAGTTGGAGAGAAAAAGCAAAAGTGCGCCAGAGAAGATATAGAGAAGGACTTAAGTTTGGCAGCTGAGCCGCAGCAGCAGCACTTTGTGTGGTGGAGAAGGGACTGGATGATGGTACAGAGAAGCAAGAGAGGAGGGAACTAGTTTACTCCGAACACATCTATTCCTTTCCCTTTTTCCTTCACACCCTGATGTTTGTTCTCTAAACTCTCACTCCATCCGTACGTCCTGATTTGGTTCCTCCCACATCCACTGCACCTCACATACAGTTTACCTGCAGGTCTCAGTCTGAGTCAGAATAACCAGCCACAGCTCGGATTGGAGGAGAACTTGGGTCAGCTGTGACTGATTCCAGAACTTAGATTATTTCATGTCGTTCTGGAACAGTTCCTGTGTGGAACACAGAGGGACTTCTGCAGCTTTTGGTCTCGGTTGGGTTTCCACTGAAGAAGTTCCTCACAGATTAGTTTCAGAGGCTCAGATCCTCCTCTGAGGTCGGTTAGTGCAGATCATTCAGTGCTGAGGCAACACTCCCCGCTCAGGCTCTGTACAGTACGTGGTTCTATAGGTTCTCCCCAGGCTGATACTGGGGTTCTGTTGAGGTGAAGTAGTCCTCTAGGAAGCCCTGCAGGTACTCAAATGTAGGCCTCTCCTCTGGATCCTTCCTCCAGCAGGAAAGCATAAGGTCATGCAGTGAAGTGGGACACTCTGCTGGACAAGGCATCCTGTAGCCGCGCTCCACCTGATCCAGCACCTCTCTGTTAACCATACCTGCAAAGAGAAACAGAAAGTCACTTTTATACCTTCCTAAATACAGTAAAAACACAAAATTTAAACCCTTATAAAAGAAATATAAGGGAATCATTAAGTTAATCTATATTTAGTTAAAATCTTTTACTCTTTATTTCAATAAATTAGTTTGTCAGACAAGAAGAGGAGTCTGCAGTGGTTCCTAGAATTTCTTAAAATAGAATG